TGGAGAAAAGTTAACACTCAGACCTGGTAGGTAAAAGGCTTAGCCTTCTTAGCCTGCCAAAAATACCTCATTAGTCAGTTTTCCTGTATTGCTTTGGAAACTGTTTATTGTTTGTGGACTAGAGGGCTTCCTGAGGATCTGGGTTCTTCCAAAAACTGCTAAAAGCACATGGCCCCACTCCCACTGAGTACCCTCCTCATGCCCACAGCTAACAATGTCCAGCATGCTCACAGATGTACTCCTGAACCCTCACTGCAAACATTAGCAGAAGGACAGGTGTATAATCACCTTGTTGAATATACAGTTGAAATAACTAAGCGCTGTTGAACTGTTTGGCTTTCAGCTCCTGCAGGCAGTTCGGGCTCCTTTTGAGCCTTTGTGTTGGAAAGGAAGGGCCACTTCATTCTTGCAGACTGTTTGGCTGTGTTGCAACAACCTGGTAACTGATGCCTGGGCATACTTTGATTGATGCACAGATCAAATGGCTGTTGGGAGTGGCTTTTGGGGTGACGTCCCACATACAATGATGTCAGCAAAAGATTTTAAAAAATTCAGGTGTGGCATAATCTGCCAATTAAACTGATTAGTGCTCTGGCTGAGTCCTGAGAAGAAGCTCTGGCTCTAGAGCTCTGCTTACTGAAGTATTTTATTCGGTGCCTTTGTCTCACCATGTACTAGACTTTTACTTAGTACCTTCACTGCAGCACACTGTAAATCGAGGTAGGATATCATACCAAGGGCTGTATGTGCTAGCTCTCTTGCTATCCAGGGAAATCTACGACCAGCTCACAGATGTCCCTGACTGCTTGGAAGCTGTGACACTGGAAGAGGTCCTGTGATTCCCGTGGGATCAGGATGGAGTGCCTTGCTGCTCTGTTGGCAGAAGTGAAAGCTAGCCAGGAGGCAATGCAGGCTGGACAGAAGGAACTAAAGCATGACGTGGAAACATCTCAAAAGGAAATCAGAACAGTGTTAGCACTGCAGAGGAGCCAGCAACAGGTGAAAGAAGATCTCAAAGCAGAGGTGAAGTCCAGTCACTTGGATATAAGAACCGTGCTTGAGGAAATCCAGAGAGTAAGAGAAGAAATGGAAGCTCGATTAAATACTCAGGCTGATCTGGTCTTACTAATCAAAGAAGTGAGCACCAATTTAACATGTGTAGACAAGGCTTTCCAGAAAATGGAAGAAAGGCAGAAAGTTTTTACCAGCCTGCATCTTCCTACAAGAGAAAATGTTGAGCAAGGATTTTTCTTTGAAAAACGCTTACACAACACACACACGGGTTTTGAAAAACCATTGGAAGCTAACAGTTTGGATGAGGAATGTGAAAAGACGGTGCTTAGGGGTAAGGCAATGGTCAATGAAAAAGCATGGGGACAGAATTGAGGTGGTTCTTATTTGTGCTTGGCAAGTAGTTTCTTCAGACTGTTTGGAATGCTTTTAAGAAATGTAATTTTTTTTTTAGAAATTGAACCTCTTGCTTAAAGAAAATAATTTCTAGCTACCATAGACATTACTACGCAGACCTTCCTAGTACATGATAAGCAAAAGAAGGCTTTGATTTGAATCTCCAAACCAAAAAGTGGGTGATAAATGTTTCATCTCGTAATCCAGCAACAGTGCACAAGATAGAGGCTCAGGAAACCTGTGGTACCAGGCAAGCTCAGAGATGGCCAGCCAGCCAGGTACAATGTCAAGTACTGGGCAGTACCCCAGCACTTAAACATAACTTTATGAAACACACTCAAATGTACAGACAGTTGAGTATTTCTTGCTTCTGAGCACCTATTAACTAGAGAAGCTATGTATGGGAAACAGTTTGCTTTATGGAATATCTTGGGGTGGGTCTAATATTCTTCCCAAAGAACAGGAGTTCGTAACTGCTGTCCATGTATGGACTGCAGAGGGAGAGGGAGGATTTCTGGGGTCATGGGGTATTCTTTTTGCCAGTGAGATATCAAATCTTCTGTGAATGCCTGTATCACTGAGTCTTGCAAAATCACTGCTAACTTTTTTTTTTTTTTTTTTTTTTTTTTTTTTTTTTACTGGTATAAAGAAAGATAGGACCTTAGGTGGTGATTTTTTCCAGTTACTGTGCTACATGTAGTACTGATATCTAGTTTTCAGGAATTGAGCATTTCAACTAGATTGGGTACAGTGTTTTAGAGCCTGTTGGAGAGGAGACCAGAACCTAACTTAAGGGTGGAAATTGTTCTACTTTAGAAGTCTGACTGTGTAAAGGTGGCAGGTGAAAAGACTAAAGTGCGGAGGACTTGGACTGGTAACCAATACTGTCTTTAATTTAGAATTTATCATTGATGTGTTGTATTGGTAATTATACTCTTGATGCTTTTGTTTTAATGAAAGCATGGCTTTTGTTTTGACATCACATCATTCCTTCTGTAGAAATCTGGAAACAATCTGTCATTGCCCAGAGGTATGTAGGCCATAAATAAGCATTGGACTGTTGCTGGTGTTAATCTGTAGGGGCAGTTCATGCTACAGAGTGTTCATGCTAGCAGAGAGATGCTTTTTAACATTTGAAGTGGCTGTGTATAGCACATGTGTATGATAAAATTCCCAACAGGAATGTCACTGAATTTCTCTAGTGCATGTGTTTTGCTCGGCTTTTTTTAGTATGGTGTCCAGAGTTGGCGTGGTTGGATGTTTGAATGAGCTTCTAGGAGATGACTTGGTAGTCTGGGCACCATGATAAAAGCAGTGGTGTGAAACTGGCAAACTGTGAAGGTTGGCTAAACTCTGGGAACAGCAGATATCTGGAGTTTTGTGTCATTTGTGGTTAACATTGTATTGCTATATAGAGAGGTAGCAGCATGTGATGTAATTTTTTCCCAGAACAAAAATTGTCTGCAAACATTTGTTCAGGCTTAATGCAGCTCTGTCAGGGTCCTACAAATGGATGTAAAAGTCACTCATATAGTTAATTAGATGATGATGTTAGCATCCACATCAGTGAATTTACCCAGTAGACTTAAATCAAGAAGAGTGCTCTAGTTCTCTATTTATTTGAAGTGGAGTATTCGGAAAGGGAGGTGGAATATATGAGAGAGCAGGAGTATGTGAGCCAGTAGGGCATGGAGGCACTGACTGTACATGTTTATTCTCTAGTTTCTGCTGTTTTTTCCTCTCTCCTTGATTAGTGTCTCTTATGATTTTTTTTTTTTTTTTTAAAGGAGCTTTAGAAGTAACCAGTAATTTCCTAAACACAGTATTCTTCATAAGATTGCTGGAAATCTGACATGGTTGCTCTCAAATGTGAACTGTCATTCATTTGAAGAGGTCTACTCAAAGGACATTGTTATGTCTGCACTGTGAGCAAAGAAGTGGTCACATTAGTTGGTGGTAAAAATAAGCTCACTAGAAATAGCAGCCACACTTGATTTTTCTTTCCCCTACAGATTTGTATTTTGATTTGAGTTGTTATGTCAATATACCTTCTAACAGCTTCCTATTAAACTGCAAGACTGTATGTTTCTAATTGAAAATATACCCTTTAATAGTTGGCATCTCTGAGTAGAAGGGCAGTGAAATCTCCAAAAATACAAGAGCATCTGAACAGGATAAAGTAATATGCTGACAATTCTCTGACTATGAGGGATGACAGAAAATCTTGCCTAGAGAGGATTTATTTGGAAAATTAATAGGCTCATGAGGCACTTTATACTGGCTCACTAGGAAAAGCACAGAGGGCATCAGTATTTTGAACAGAAAACTTGTTTTAAAATGTTTTGAAAACAAGTGAAGGCTGTGCAAGACTGATGTCTTAATGCAATAGTTGATGTGTCAGACTATCATTAAGTGAGAATCAAAGCTTTTGTTACTAATACTGTCCCCAGTTGTGTGATTTGAACGTTATACCACTGGCACTATTCCAGAGTCACTTGACAACCTTCAAACCAGGTGCTTGGACTTCATCAGCAACTACTTCTAGATGATTAGTTTGTCCCCTCTTTTTTCCTTGTGCTCCTATTTTTCTTTTCTCCAAATATCACCTCTCAGGTTTTTTCACTTTATCTCAAAGAAATCTCGTTAAGTTGAAACTGTACAAAGTAATCTGCTTAGATGTCTTCATGAAATTGCCAAGGGATATTTATGTATTGCATCAGCCTTTTATTGCAAAAGTGTTTGTTCGTTCCCCGTGCAATCAAACGGGGAAGACTGGCCTTCTCTTTGTAGCAGCACTGTACTCCCTTTTCAGTCTGAAGGCAGCAGAGAAACCTGTAACCTCCGTGATGTTTACAGTCCCACACTGGGTGTTATGTAATGTGGTTTCCTCTGACACGAGATGATTGTGTACTGTGAAGGGAATGATGTTGCAACATAACTAGGAATATTAAATCAACGATGTAATTCTTGGACCATGAATAGTGGCAGAGCAAACTTGAAATATATTACATTTTAGAGCATTTTTAAGTCTTGTCCTTGTGACTGATTGCTGACGCTAACAAATGCTGCAAGATCTCTAGTTCATAAAGCTCAAACCTGAGCTGCAGAGAGAGGAGTTCTTGCAGTGAAAACTTTGAAAGGAAGAAAAAGATAGAGTAAATGTAGGGAAAATGTTTTTTAATTGAGCAATATTTTAGAGTGCAGGAAGTATGAAATCCATGTTGCAAATATGAGTGATCAACTCTTATAAGTAACTGGATAGGTAGGATAACTTGCATTTTAGGTAGGAAATCTTACATTTTATGAAAATACTCATTCAAAACACGATGTGAAGATTATGCTGAAAAGTAAGCCACAGAATACATGAAGGTGAGAGTGAAGTGCACAACATTGTATACAAGTTTATGGGTCTAGAAATTAACTTGACAGATTATAGTGTCTGCACTGCAGTGCTACTGAAGTAATCCCTTCCAGTTAGTATTTCATGAAATATTTATAAGAATTTGTATCTACTTTCTTTTGCACTGTCTTTTTAAGTTTGATGAGACTTCAACATAAAACTGCATATTAATTAGTTATTTTTGTTGTTTCAGTTGACAAGGGCAAGCAGCGGAGTCCCAAGAGCTCATGCATACAGACTCAAGCCTCCTCAGATGTGCATTTGCCTGGCACAAAACCAGCTGAGTTGACACAGTACAAAACAAAATGTGAGACCCAAAGTGGAATCATCCTGCAGCTGAAAAAATTCCTGACAAGCAGTAATCAGAAGTTTGAAGCATTAACTGTTGTGATCCAGCACCTACAGTCTGAGGTAAAAACGTGCAGCTAATGAATTTTGGCTTTAATTTTTTTACCTGTTCTCAAGAAGGGCTTCTGAAAATATTAATATAATGATATATAACATCTGTGTTTCCATTCCAAGTATTGCTTTTTTCCTGTGGAGGTAGCGGTAAACTTGCTCCTGGCATCAGTTGGATAGAAAAAACGAAAACCCTGACAGTTTTATGGTCTCTTTGCAGCTTCACATCCTTTTTACAAGAGAAGTTTTTAAATGTTTGTAGTCAGAATGGCTTCACGGTTGAGTACCTTTCCAAGTATATACTTTAAGTTCTGCCCTTGTAGGAAGGACTAGTTTCAACAGATAATGTACATGACCTCCCTGTGTTATCTGACATTGGATAGAAGAGCATATAAAGGGTAGATATGGTTTGGAGCTGTTCAGAATAAAGTGTGAGTTGTTATGATTGAATTCTGCATTATTGGTGGCATCTTCAAATTATCAATATCTCATTAAAAAAAGAGAAATGCACCTGGAGTTTAGAGGGGAATTGATCTGATGTGGTTTAATGTTTATTTGTTCTAATCTGTTTGACATGCATAATGAGCTAATCAGTTTGGTATTACACTTTTGGTCTGCTTTTGAAAACTTTTGAGAGAAGAAAAGTCTGACGTTAAGGAAATCATAACAGTCATAGATTTACGCTGCAACAGTTGATACAGGCTTTAATAGCAGTTTCTCTTGCACTTATCATTAATGTTCCAAGAATGGTATCAATTTTATTTCAGCTGTTACGATATGTGGTGATTTCATAGTCTGGTATACAGAAAAGTACTGAGTTGTTGTACTATGCTGCCAGAAACATAAGATTTTCTTCTTGTGGGATGATATCTGCTCGCTCTCATATCATCCAGAAATACTGCATTCATCCAGAAAGTCTGGCTCAATTCAGTAAGAGCAGTGGCTTTTAGCCATGTTTGTGGGTTTGGTTTAGTTGGGGTTTTTAAACTCTTGATTGGAACACCTTTCTCTGCTAAGAAACCTAGTTTAAGATCTTTAAAGCACTTTGATACAGGATTTCTGGATGCCTGTCATCTGATACAAAATTGTGAAGTTTATATGTGAAATTCATACTACTAAACTTCTCTGCTGTCTTCTAATTACTGAATAATAAGGATCTTGATTTTTGGTAACTTTTATAATTATCTTGGCCTAGATTCTTCTCTCAAATATTTTTGTATTAAAACTTCTTAAAATTCAGGGATGCTATATCACTGTCATATTAATAAGCCACCTATCACATATATTTGCTATTTCACATGTCAGTCTGAAGGTAATTTTTTTTTTAAGAATATTGGATTGGTTATTTAAAAAATAGGAAAAAGAAAAAGTGGTGTTGAAGATGGAGGGAAGAAAGAAATCCATGGAGGAAACAAGTAATTTTGCTCCTTCTTCATCATTCTTTCACAGATGGAAAGAAAAAAGAAATTTTATTTTTATCAAACTCTATAAAATTAGTAATCTTGGAGAGTTAAATCCAAGCACATGAAACTGGACTGAATATTGGTATACAAACGTTGATGTACTTCCATACCTGTTACCGGTATTTAGGTTCTCTCCTTTCCCAGGATAAGACAATGCTTGCTGAAGAGTCACTGTCTTATTCTTGTGTACTTAGCATAGAGGTGAGGAGGACTCTTCTGCCATGGTGGTGTAAGGAATGCTCAGAATCTGGTAGTTTTAGGGAACATTGTGAAGAGTTGTTTTGGTTTTCTAGGTTGTTTTGGTTTTGTCTGTTGGTTTGGGGTTGTTTTTCCTTTCTGGTGAAGTGTGGAGTCTGGCATAGCTAACAATCTCAACTGGCCATACATTTATTTTTCTGAAGCATCTCTTGTGGATCCCTTTGTAGTTTTCAAACTCTGAGTAAGCTCAGGGAGAAACTTGGAGTTAGCATTTAGCTTGTAAGACAGGGGCTCATAGCTTAACTACTGCCGAGCCAACTGAAAGTAACTTCAGTTTTTCTGTTTTTTAAAAAAAAAAAAAGAATCATGCTTAGCTGATAATATGACGAACAAAGCTATGCTTCCATTCCTCCCAGCAGAGCAAGTGTGATGTGACACAATGCAGTGTAAGCTGATAAAACAACTTGCAGTAACCAGAAGAGGGTTCTGCTCTGGGCTCTTCTGGTGCTGGTCTGTCCCTGCAGAAGGCTGATTCAGCTTGCAACTACCAGAAAGCTAACCCAGCCAAAGAAAAAGCATTTCTTTGCCAGATTAGCGACGTGGACCATCCTAATGTGTGCTCAGAGCCAGTGTGAGGGTAAGATGGGATCAAGGACAGGCTGCCTGGCCAAATGGAGAAGAGGGCTGGAGTGAGCTGTTAGGTCACTTAAAGGCTGTGCAGCCCAGCCCCAACCTCTTTGCAAAACCTTGCCCCAGCCTCTCCCACTTTGCCTGCAAAACTGAAGTTACTGGGAGGTGATTCAGCTGTTATGTTCGTTTGGGTTTGCTTGCCTTCCAACCCCCCATTTCTGCACAAAAGTTTTAAAGTTGCTTCTTATGAGCTCATTTGAAATGGGATAGCTGCAAGCAAAATCGGGACTTGTTGGCAGTGACTTCTGTCAGAAATGCAGCCAGCCCATCTGGAGTGAAGTTGAGAGGCTGCTGTTGAAGGGTTAAATGAGATTGAGCAATACTGCTGTGCTGTTTCTAACCCAGCAGGAATCTCTCACAAAACTCTGAGCTCAAACCTGTTTGTTGCAAGCATTATCTTGGAGCTGTCAATATTAACAGCTGGCTCTGATAACACCTTCATACTTGAGCTGTCAGGGTTTGTCCGGGGAATTTCTATGCTTAACTACCTTTACCAAGACTCTTCTGAATTTAGAAATCTTAAAAACCCAGTTTCTACTTTGCAGGAGCTACTGCTGCATGGAGTTAATACCAAATGGAAACCCTCTTGGCATCCAGAATACTTGATGGCAATGAACGGTGTGGCTAGTGAGAACGCCATACTGTACTGAGTTTTCCCATTGTTAGACAGCTGTATGTGTGCTAGTGGTGTCACAAGCACATGTCAAATTGTGGACTAATCACAAAAGCAAGTTTAGTCTTTCTAGTCTGCTGCACTCCTCCTGATCCCCTGGTAATTCTTGTGACTTCGTAACTGTTTTCCTGTTTTTTAAGTTCAAATGAGAAAGGAAAAGTAGCAGTATGGAGGAAACGGTGAAATCAGCCATTTGCAATAAGTGCATGAAGTGCCAAGAAAAGCCATTTTCTATTAACCTTTAACTGCATTAAGCTCTAAAATTTGCACCTCTGCTTTTCAATTGATCTGTGAACTTCCCCTGGTATTCATTTTTCATATTAATTCTGAATTTATTTCTTGTCCACAGATGTGTTCACAGAGGCTTTAAATACGTGGTTCAGCACATCTGCAGTAAGTCAGGCCATGGCTGCTGCTCCTGCAGCCCCGCTTTCTCTTACTTTGCCCTTGTGTCTGCATGGGCTGGTGCTCACCTGTCCTTGAGGAGCCAGTTCAGGCACCCAGTCAAGAGAAAAAAAAAAAGATAATTATGGGTCTGGCTTTATAGGTCTGTTCATACCCCAAATGTGATAGAGATGCCCCCACACAGTGGTTCACTGTGGGAAGGAGTGGGAGTGAAGAACCACCAGTGCTGCAGTGGGGTGGGATGTGTGTGCCTGAGAGGTCTGCAGCTGTGGTTAGGGGCCAGGTGCTCCCTTGGGAAGGATTGCCTGTTTTCATGATATCCTGCAAAGGTACATCACTTGCTGATGAGCCTGAGCCTGTGGTGTCTTCTGCATGAGCCTTTGCTTCTTGCCTCCTGAGGGGTGATCAGCCTCTTTCCCTGCCTTGGGGCTGCCCCCACAAGGCCACAAGATTGCTGCAGCTGGAGAATTTGAACCCCTAACTCACTGCCATGTATAAACTCTTACATGTTTGGGGGTAGAGGGTGTTTGTTTAACAGCACAGTACTAGCTCACATCAGGTTTTGGTAACTTCTAAAGTTGTTTAAGGGAGGCTTAGCTTTCGAGTGGAAAGGTAATGTATTGTTAGAGTGACTTGAATGGCTTTGTGAATGTTCAAAGCGTGAATTGACAAATACTACCTTTTCATCCTCTCATTTTAATGCATCAATTGCCACATTCAGAACTCTGGATGGTAAAATGTTTAATTATTATAAACAGTCATTTCTGTTCGTCAGCTTTAATAAATGAATCTTAAGTGTTTCAAGAGCTCTCAGCAGATTTCTGCTGTAGAAAAGAGCCACAAATTATGTCTGCTACAGAGATTAATAGAAATTAAGTTTCACTGTTATGTTTCTCTTGGTATGGTTCTGGAGACTGGTATTTACAGCTCAAACTTTACTTGGAAAGGGTTGTGGCGACATTTCAAGAAGTTTCCGTCATAGAAGGAAATGCTTTTTGAGAGGCTGTAGAGCCTTGACAATAATACGTGGATACCACTAATTGTGGATGTGATACAGGAAGCAACATAAGTCATGTGCTAGAAATTGTGTGGCTGAAACAGGCTTCAGTATTTCTAGGTGGAAATAGAAATTAACTATTAGTATATGAGCTACTCTAACTGGCATTTCCTGACATGTGGATGACTGTAAGAGTTGAGATACTAGGCTTTTTTGGAATTTCTTAGCACTTTAAAGAGGTTTTTTTTTGGTTTTGGAATATATAGACACATGTATCAGGAAAAAATGGTCCTGGCCTTTGTGGAAGTTCAGCAGAAAATTTTAATATTTATCAAATGAGAAATGCATATCCAACTTAAGGATCAGAAGTACACACTGCACCCAAACCCGTTTGTAGTAAAATGAAGAATTTTGGAACAGTCATATTTTTAGCCTAGAAAACAAAAATATATTGGTAAGCCTGTTGTTTAGAGCAGCTGTCTTTGAGTTGAATTTATCATTTTGATTTTCTAGAACTTAACATCAAACTTGACTGGTTGTTATTAGGATTTGCATCCAAAGTGCACTTCTGCTCTTTAAATCTATC